GTAGGGAGGGAGGTGCATCCGTAGGTGGGTGGAGGGAGGGAGGTGCATCCGTAGGTGGGTGGAGGGAGGGAGGTGCATCCGTCGGTGGGTGGTCGGAGGGAGGGAGGGAGGGAAGTGAATCCGTGGGTGGGTGGAGGACATGTCTCCCTGTCTCCCAACACCAATCAGCCGTGTGTTGGCGCCAATGCCTCGCCAGACTTGTACAGAATAGCCGTTAATGTCTCGATAAACAACTCTTTCCTCGTGGGTGGTTGGTGGGTGCTCTTGTGGCATTTGATCTTTCTTTCCTATCACACATCTATCGTCCTTATCTGTCCTCCTTTTCTGTGCGTTAACCTCTAGTTACACTTTTTTCTCCAGCATTTGCGTGACCTAAGTGTGTTGCAAGCGCCATTAAACTCTTACCACAACTAACAATCGTAGGTGGTTGGCGGGTGCTCTGGTGTGGTTTGCTTCTTCTTTCCTATCAAATATCTATCGCCATTATCTCCCCTTCTTTTTTGTTTGTTACTCTTGTAACAACCTCTAATCTTCTGGTGCTCATATGACCTTATGCAGTTGCGAGCGCCGTAAAACCTCTGCTAAAACATAAAACAAAAAACATATCTCTCCTTGTTTTTGTTTTGTTTTTGCATGTGTTACTCTCTTGTAACCTATAATCCGCAGCACTTATATGACCTTATTGCGTTCAAGTACCATAAAACACGTACTTACACGCTCACACGCTCACACACACACACACACACACACGCGCGCGCACACACACACGACACACGCTCACACACACGACGCTCACACACACACGCACACACACACGCACACACACGCACACACGCACACACGCACACATGCACACATGCACACATGCACACATGCACACACACATGCACACACACACACATACACGCAAACGGTCACAACTACACACACTCACAAATGCTCACACACACACACAAGCGCACGCAGACGCTCTCAACAACACACACTCACAAATGCCACACAAACGCTCACACACACGCTCACGCACACACACACACACGCTCACACACGCACACGCTCACACACGCTCACACACGCACACGCTCACACCCACACACGCTCACACACACACACGCTCACACACACACACACACACACACACACACACACACACACACACACACACACACACACACACACACACAC